GCTGAGGCAAGAGAATCACGTAAGCCCAGGAGTTGGGGGTTGCTGTGAGCTGTGATGCCACAGTACTCTACCCAGGCTTTATCTCTACAAAAAAAAAAAAAAAGAAAAACCCTTAAATTTACAGATGAATGATTTCAACAAGACTGAACCACTCAATGGAGGAAAAAATAGTCTTTTCAACAAGTAATAGTGGAACATGCAAAAAATTAAAGCTGAACCCCTACTTCACACAATACATAAAAATTGATTAAAATGAACTATAGACCTAAATATAAGAGCTAAAACTATAAAACTCTTAGAAGAAAATGTAGGATCAAATCTTTATGATTTGGGATTCAATGGTTGTTTAGATATAACACCAAAAGCATGAGCAATAAGAGAAAAAATAGGTAAATTGGACTTTATCAAAATTAAGAAGTCAGTCCTGTGCTGCACAAGACTATAAAGAGAATTAAAAGACAACCAATACTCACAAGTTACAAACCTACTAACGTACTTGTATCCAGAATATGAGAAGCTCTTAAAACTCAACAATAAGAAGACAAATCACTTCATTATTAAATAGGCAAGGGATTTGAATAGACATTTCTTTAAAGAAGATATATAAATGGTTAGTAAGCTTATAAATAAATAAAGCAAATAAAACTACAGTGAGCTGAATAGTGGCCACAAAAAATACGTACGCATTCTAATCCCTGGATCCTATGAATGTGACCTTTTTGGAAAAAAGGTTTTTGCAAATGTTATTAAGTTAAGGATCTTGAGATGAGATCATCCCAAATTACCCAGTTGAGGCCTAAATCCAGTAAATGTCCTTTTAAGAGCAAAAGAGGAAAAGACCCAGGGAGACAGAGGAGAAGGCCATGGGAAGTGAGAAGCAGAGACTGGACTTATGTAGCCAGAAACCCAGAGACACCTGGAGCCACTAGAAACTGGGAGATTCTCCCCCAAGAGCCTGTGGAGAAAGTGCAGCTCTGCTGACACCCTAGTTTAGGATCCTGGCCTCCAGAACTGTGAAGGAATGCATTTCTGTTTTTTTTCTAATACCTGAAATCATGGTAATTTGTTATAGCAGCCACGGAAAACTAATAGAACATTTAACCCAACAGTTCTACTCCTAGGTATGTGTCTAAGAGAACAGAAAATATGTCCACACAAAAACAAGGGCCTGAATATTCACAGCAGCATTATCCATGATGGCCCCAAAGTGTGAACAACTAAACATACACCTACTGATAACCGAACAAACAATATGTGATCTATCCATACAATGGAATATTATTCAGCCATAAAAAGTGGTGAGGTACAATACATACTATCACTTAGATGAGCCTGCAAAACATTATGCTAAGTGAAAGAAGCCAGTCGCAAAAGACCACATATTATATGATTCCATCTACCCAAAATGGCCAGAAGATGTCAATCTATGAGATAGAAAGTGGATGTTTGCCTAATGTGGAGGTCAGGTAGGAGTTGGGGTAGGGGGATTAAGAGAGTAAAGAATGAGTCGTGACTTATAGTGGGGGTGGGCTTCTCGTTGGTTTGCTAAAAATGTTCTAAACTTAGATTGTGGCAATGGCTGTACAACTCTGAGAATATCCTAAAAATTATTAAATTACATGTGTATGACTGAATTTATGGTACGTGTATGGGTGAATTTATGACATGTAAATTATATCTCGATAAAGCTGTAAAAAAAAGAGAATCATAAGAAGCAAGTAATAAAATTCTATTTTAGCTTTTGGTATATATTTAGTTTATAAACAATGAGTAATTATGAATCACAATTATTTTAGATCTATCCTACCATAATCTAGGCAGCATACCTCACAACCAGGAAAAGTAGGCTTCGAAATGAATCATTAACTTGAGTCTTTGATGCTGTTCTAAGAAATGTGACCTTAGAGGTTGAAGGGTGAAGCTCCCAATCACAGTTTTAAACCCTAGCTCTTACTCTAAGAGGAAACGCTTGGCACCTAACAATTTCCCCTCCTGGTCTGTACTCTGTGCATAAAGAAACTGTGTTCTCTTCTGTTTGCTGGGCACTGTCTGACAGAAACCTAATAGCTTTACCATTTGTCAGTTTCCTCCAATCTTTCTCCTTACTCTAAACAATCTAACATGATAATTGGAACTCTTTCTTAAAACGATCCACTTTAAGATGTGGCTTCTAAGAATGCAGAATATCTAAGAGAGTCTGTGGTGACTGGAACAGGGCAGAGGAGGAACACTACATACAAAGGCAGGGTCAGAGGACCCCTGTGAAGACAGTCCAGCTCTGCCTCTCCTCAGCACGTGCTCAGAGCCTAGTTTGGCTCAGATATAGAGCCCAGTGGGCAGTAGTTCTGAAATGCCCTGCCTGGTGTGAGTTTGGGGGATCACACTGATGTCACTGAGGTTGTTGAGTCCCATATTCATGTAGGTCACGACGGGTAGGACACTGTGGTCACACAGGGTGCACCCCAATAAATATTAGGTCAGGAAGGACTAATATAGGCCCTCAATGTAGCCCCATGGTGAACCAGTCACTACAGGCTCTGGCCACTTGTCCAGAAGAGATGGATGAAACGGCTCAGCGCCTGTGGCTCAAGTGGCTAAGGCGCCAGCCACGTACACCTAAGGTGGTGGGTTCGAATCCCCAGCCCAGACCCCCCAAACAACAATGTCGGCTGCAACCAAAAAATAGCCAGGCGTTGTGGTGGGCGCCTGTGGTCCCAGCTACTTGGGAGGCGGAGGCAGGAGACTCACTTGAGCCCAGGAGTTGGAGGTTGCCGTGAGCTGAGATGCCACAGCACTCTACCCAGGGGGACAGCTTGAGGCTCCTGTCTCAAAAAAAAAAAAGAGAGATGGATGAAAGGCTGGACTGCCATGTGGCCAAAGCAGAGCTACAGTGAAGCCCAGTGGAACTGACCCTGCCTCTCCAGACCTGGACAAGTTTGGAACCCTGGCTAGAACCTCATAGGAAAGGGATACCGGCTCCCTAGTGCTGTAGGCATGGAACAAGGGTGGATTAGAAGCGGACAGTCTAACAGCCAAATTCTGTCTTTATCACTTACCACCTCTGTGTTCTTGAAAAAGTTACAGGAGAACCTCCACAGTTGATCACCTGCCTATACGGACCATCTCCGTAAGTTGGCCTAATTTTCACAGACCGGACATGCACCACATGTATGTATCGGTACAGCAGGAATAGTTCCTTACACTGCCCACCTCTGCACATTGACCAGTTTGTTACAGCCCTTGGGTTATTGACAACAGAGGTTCTACTATATTAACTTTTTAGAATCCTGGTTTCCTCATCTAAATAATGAGAGTAATAATGTAGCATCCACAGAGCTACATAAGGACTGAATTAAATTACATAAAACCCAAGGCCTGGCCCCTAAGAGTCTCTCAGCAATGACATCTGTTTGGAAAAAGTGCTGGGGGGAGCCTGTGGAGTAACCTGTCCAACGACACTGATGCAACTTTAAAGCTTCTCATCATGGAACTATCTTTCTGGCCCAATTTTCACCTATACTTTGGCTGATTATGCTGTCCTTTAGATGAATGAGTAATAGAAATCTGGAACATTCATGTCATTTTGTTATCATGATTAATTATGCCACTTAAAAAGTACTTACCAGAGTCTGTTTGTGTTGTTTGTCTACTTGATAGCCTCCAAAATGTAATATGCCAGGTCTTGCCTGTATGACCTTATTATTCAGTAGTTTTGCATAAACTTCTATAAAAACAAAGTAGATAAGTATATCATGAGACATCAAAAAATATATTAAATTAAAGAAGATCCTATTCACATAGAAACTCTTTCATTTTTGCTATTTTAAGCATATGAAAGTTGCAGACAGTGAATATAGCTGTCAACAAGATTAATTATCTGTTCCAAATAAACTGTACTCCTCCCTCTTTATCTTTTTTTTTTTTTT